AGCTGCCATTCCTAATGTCGCTGGGGACAACCGCCTGAGCACAGGCTGCAGCAAGGCACACCGCTGGTCCTGGTGTCGGTGAAGGTAGGACGATGGGAGACCTGGCAAAGCCCAAAAGTGACAAGGTTATACCACCCCTCACAGCCTTAGAGGGACTGTGGGAAAACAACTACCAACAACAACCGTCCTATTCCAGGCAGGCTGGCAGCCAAAACCCCTGCACCAGGAGTACAGAGAAAGCGCCAACCACCCGAGGGCCCCGGAAAGCCAAGCAGAGGTACTAGACCTCCACCCACCCCTGGCAGGTAGAGTTTCCCTTTACCCTTAGGGCAGAGTCAAAGACCGAGGAAATACAAGGTCTAAACCTGTTTCAGAAGTATCCTTCAAAACCACCCCAAGAGCTGAAGAAGAAACAAATAAATGCAAAAACAAACAAACAAAAACATACCAGGAGGAGGAGGAAAGTCCTCAGCATGAGTAAGATGACAGCTCACAGACTCACAATCAAAAAAACGAGCCGGGCGGTGGTGGCACACGCCTTTAATCCCAGCACTCGGGAGGCAGAGGCAGGAGGATCTCTGTGGGTTCAAGGCCAGCCTGGTCTACACAGAGCGAGTTCCAGGACACGGAGAAACTCTGTCTCAAAAAACAAACAGGTAAAATAAAAATCCAAACGAGGTTGTATTAGACACAAAACCAGAGGCCAACAGAGAGAAAGAGAGACCTATCTCAAAAACTAACACCAATAGTGGAGTCACCTGGGCCACCCTTCCGAAAGGAACCTGAGTGTTCGGGGTTATGCGCATAGCTGCCAACACCAACTAGATACGACCACTTTGGCTATTTGTATCCTGCTTCTGGTATTTCTTCCAGGCACAAACATATTCCCAGAAATTTCACAGCAATGTAGCAGCAGACAATGGCAGACAGAGGAAAGTTGTAGAATCCAGGCACATCAGTAAGAGGCAAAGAAGGGTGAAAATGGGTAGCCACAAAGACTGCTCCCCCAAACTACCTTTTACTAAAAACTCAAAAGCCCTGTCTGCATGGCCGACTTCCAGTTCTGTCCGGAGAGACCCTGAAAATGCAGATGCGGGAGGAAGGGCCCACCCTAAGCAGGGCGTGCGTGGTAAGGGACAGCGCTGAGGTGCCAGCACACGTCTAGCATGCACCAGGCCCTGGCTGGACTTTTAACACCAAAAAGCAAGTTATGTCATACAATGTACCACCTGAGAGCGCACATCAAGAAGACCGTATACGTAAATACATTCAAGGACACTACAGGCTAATCAAAACTGCATTCTAAAAGAGAAAAAAAAAAAAAATGCTCAAAGAAACCCACAATGGCAGGGAAAAAAGAAAACAAAACAGGAGCTAAAAGGACAGACTGAAGACCCAACATATCTATAATTATATGTAAGGGAAACAGTCTACAGCCACCAATGGAAAGTCCGTCAGAGGGAAAATCACATGCCGAGTGCAGTCAGTCCACTAGACGCTCACATGGCATATAATCATATAGGTAAGTTAAAACAAAGGATGCAAAAGAATTATACAAACACTACTCAAAAGAATGCTAGGAGCCGAGCGCACCTCAGTGTGGACAGACAGACAGACAGGCCCTGGGCTCTGTCCCAAGAAAAGGAGAGGCGGTGGTGAGGGACAGAAATCAGAGCGAGACTAACAGACTCCAGGGCAAAAACTAACAGCAACCGACAGGGACATCACACACGATAAGCAGCTCAATCCACAAAACGTAAAAAATAAAATAATAATAATAAAAAAAAGGACAAAGGAATCCCAAATGCATTTGTACCAAATAACAGAACTGAAAAAAAGATTCAACACTACCCTGCCAGAACACCACAGAATACCACCAAAGATACTTAAGGACATGACTATGAGCACAATTTTACTGACATCTGTAGAACCCAACAGCATCAGAATAAACATTAAGAGTCCACAAATAAAGGACAAAGTGGACCGCATTCCAGACCATAATAAGCAAGTCTCAGTAAATGAAAGACCAAATGACTATCGCCTGGACACTGTTAGACTGACAAGACAGAAGATAAAAAGCGATAGGGAGGTGGCAGACAGGTCTCTCCCACACTGTGGCTGGGACAGGGTTTCCCTGTGCAGCTTGGAGCCTGTCCTGGGACTAGCTCCTGTAGACCAGGCTGGCCTGGAGATCACAGAGATCGGCCTGCCTCTGCCTCCCGAGTGCTGCTGGGATTAAAGGCGTGCACCACCACCGCCCGGCTGACAGTTTCTTATAAAACTAAAACTTTTCCACAGGACCTGGTAGTCATACTTTTGGGCGTTTACCCCTAGAAAACAAAGGCTCACACAAAAAGTTGTATACAATCACTAGCTGCAGTTAGAGACATCAGATACCCCTTGCCTCACACGCAGAAGCAGGACAATGAAGGGAGTATCCTATTGAAAGCATGGCAATAACATGCAAACACACTGTTGCTGCCATGGCTCCACGGCCTTCTGCCTTCAGAAGTGGACCTGTAACAAACGTGGCTCAGGAGCAAAGTGTAAATGGACGCTGGGACTGGGCAAATGCAAATTCAGACATGGAGATCCCAGTGACCAATCATAAGGCACAGGCTCTGCTCCCAAGACCTGAAGGAAAAAAATGATCCCTCAATGGGCTAATGCTTAAATTGCAGAATACCCACATCATGACTACTTAGCAATAAAAGGAATGAACTATATTAAACCACTGCTCAACTTGGACAGACATCAAATGGATTACGCTGAAGGAAAAAAAGGCAACCTCAAAGGTCATGTACTGTACAGGGCTATTTACGTATTGTTCTATTTACAGAGCCGTAGAAGGGATTAGTGGTTGCTATGGGCTAAGACGGGCAGTGGCCATCAAGGGGTAGGACAAGAACCCTGTGCAGAGGGATAGCTGTGCCTTGACTGTGGTTGCAAGAGTTCGGTGCCAGAGACCCGCACACACTGAACCAACACTGGCTCATTAAAAGAAAACTGAATGTGCATTGTTTGCCTTAGCACAGTAGTGGGGTCAGAAGGCGGGGTCAGAAGGCAGCTCTTCCCCTTTACCTTGTTGAGGCAGGGTCTCTCGTCTCTACAATTGCACTGTGATCTCCAGGCCAGCTGGCCCGCAAGCTTCCAGGCAATTCTTGTTTCCACTTTTACATTCCTGTAGGAGTGCTAAGATTACAAATGCATGCAACCAATCCAGCTTTTTATGTGGGTTTTGGGGGAGCACACATGGGTCATCAGGCTAATCAACTAGCACTCTGACCCCGAGTCACCTCCCCAGCCCTCAATGTCCTCATTTTGGTATACTAGCCAGGTGCCATGCAAGCAATAGGGGAAAGTTGGTGAGGACACACGGGCCCTACGCTATCGCTCTTAAAGCATACACAGGGCGAAGCAGCTCAATAGTTCACGTCTCATTTCTTCTTTAAGAAAGGCAATGGTGCGAACTGCACGGTTCACTTGTCTATGGGGTGGGCGGGCTAAGAACCAGCCCCTAAGGAGGCTTAGGTCAATTGGGCTCGGTCTTTGGGATCTGAGCTGAGAGATGGGAATCCACAGTCTGTGCTGGATAGTTCTGTGACAACGGGGAGAAAACTAATGGGGGAAGCGGGAGCTGGATAGATGACCCAGCAGTTGCTCCTGTAGGAAGACCTGGGTTCGATTCCCAGCACCCAATGGTGCCTCAGCCATTTGTGATAATAGTTCCAGGGATTCCAACAGGCACTCATATGCTAAACACACATGCGTGCAGACAGAACATTTATATGCAGAGTCAAAGAATTAAAAGGTAAAATTAAAAGGTCACAGGGCAAAAGCAACAAGGTCCTATCTGTAAGACGCTTTCTAAAGTCAGATTCTGAGGGCCATCCTACAATCTCGGCATGCCTGCTGGAGCTCAACACTGGCCTGGCCTATAAATGAGTTCCTGGGCTAGGTAAGAACCAATCTCAAAACAAGCAGCTGGGAGGCGAAGAACGCCCACTGAGTGTAGTAAAGGATGCTCCTTCCAACTACCAGTCTTCAAACGCCTTAGAAAGCACACGAAGAGACAGCAAAGACTTGTTTCATCGTAAATGCATCAGAGCCTCAACTTTCATGTGAGTCAGCAGTGGGTTCAGCGATCCTAAAGAAGTGAGGTGAAAGAGAACTGGCTCTACTGAAGATAGTTTACTGGGCCAAATGTTCCATCAGTCTGCTAGGGCTATGATCTCCACCAGGGATGCCAATGCCAGGGCAGGCCACTGTGGAGCTGAACTGAATGCTGGGAGTATGGGCATTTGCTGGCACACTCAGCTGGCATTCCCACTACAGGTGACGTAAAGGTGTGTGTGGCCTGTTCTGGGTTCTGAGATGCAACACTAGAAGGTTTTAAGGGTCAGAAGGGGCGGGGGAGGTCCCTCCTGCCACAGATACACAAGGTAGAACTCACTTATCCACCTCTAAGTCCTTATTTTGGGGTCAAAGGGGCAGCCTTAGGACAGGTAACTGTCCGTTAAGACTAGCTACTGAGTGAGAGCGCCACTCAGGCAATAATCACTCTTGGCCTGATAGGAAAACTGGAAAGGGCCAGTCTCCTCACTTCCTGGGCTGGAGCTGGATTCCATTTCTGGTCTTCCAACTCAGAACCCAGGACAGACATCGGCCCACGCCTCTTCCTCACCCACACAGGGAATGACAGCTGGGTGTAGTGGTAAGTGCCCGTCCTCCCAGCATTCAGGAGGCAGACCCAGAGAGCCATGAGTTACAGGCCAGGTCAGACACTCAGTAAATCCGAGGCCTGCCTAGACTACACGAAACCTGTTTTTGTTTTGATTTTCCTTAAGAATTACAGAGCCTCGGCCTCAGCAGCTGACAGGAGCAAGATAACGCCAGGCACCATCACTCCACTGTCTGTCTCCACTACACAGGCAATCCCAAAGCATGCCAAAGAGTCAAATGAAGACAAGCTGAAGCAATGCAAGGTTTTGTTTTTTTTTTTTTTTTTTTTATTCTTTTTGCTAACATAAGATCAGAGCCATCACTATGGCTCACTTTTATGAATTCATACACCTCCAAATTAATATAGTGATACAACCAAAGGTGGACAAGTCTCTGTCCCTGTGACCTCTTCTCAAAGCCACAGACATCCTCCATGGGGCATTTACAATACATCTGTTGCCCGAGAATTTAAAGCCTTCCTGATCCATCTACATACTCCATACGAGTATTACCTTCTGAGGCGAAGCCTCAAGCCTGCCACAAGATGGGATCTGAGGAGTGTGACCTACAGGTTCCAGCCACTCCCTTGTCGGTCAGTCCCCAAGGTGAAGATGTGTGTTGTTTGTCCCTTCCCCCAGTTTCGCAGTTCCTCAAGGTATACAGGCCATGCCTCAGAAGTCACCCATGGGATGCACACAGACCACCACCAGAGCAGAGTACACGCTTTCTTTGGTTCCAGAACACAAGGGCAGCAGCTTTCAGGAGCAGCCCCTCCAGTGTTGTTCAAGCGGTTCTCCTAAGTCCTAAGGTTGTTCAGGGCCCTCTGCCAACCTAAATATCCCTCCGCGTTTCAGAGCCCACCTCACCCTCTCTCTCCTGGTGGTTATATGCTCTGAGCTACAGAGCTTCTGGAGGCCTGGAAGGCCGCACTGGAGGCCTCTTCCAGATTTCATACCTTCTCAACGTCACTGAACGCCCTCTGACTTTCAGAATGCAGCCCACTGTGAGGCTCTGTGCATGCAGCATCACAGCGCAGGCAGGGGTGTGCACACGAGGATGGGGCCGCTCTCCACTGCTACCACACCTCTGACCTGACGCTCCTCAGCACCACGCTCCACTCAGATTACAAGTGGGAGGCTTTGGCGTAGCTTTACTTTACTTCTCTCTTCAGGGAACGTTCTACACATGAAAAGGAAAGGAGCCTGCACTGGAACACAAATTCAGAACCAGAGTCCAGGCTACCTGTGCAGTGTCACAGCAGTGTCACAGCAGGTTCTGGCCGGCACCAAGCCTCGCACAGTGGCCGCTACACCCTTCCTAGCGCTAAGTAGGGAGACAAGGTTCTAAGGAAAGGAAACGAACTCTGAAGCACAGCCCCACCTTCCTAAACAGCGGGGACAGCATGGTAGCTGTCAACCTGCTTCAGCACCAGGCACCACAGGCGGCTCCAGGCTCCCTCTGACTTGGCTATTCCCACTTCTCTAGTTAATCTTAGGTCAAGTGTCATGCAGAGTCCCCAGCCCAAAGCGCCATCAGCATCAGGTCTGGGGGTGTTGTCTTGCCAACCATTCCCTCGGGCTGCTCCATCCCTCACCTTCAGTATTTCTGTACCTACAGCCTCTCTGGTACAGGACATGCACCAGAGAAGGGGGCCTGGAACCATCGTTCCTCTCTTCCCCGGCAGCTGAAGGGCTGAGCGCTAGCAGCCCACTTCCCCCTGCCTTCACCGGAAACTTGAGTGAGCAGCTCCACACTGACAGCGGAGTCAAACTGCATTAGTGTTAGGGTAGAACGCCAACAATCCACACATGGCCAGTCCTGCTGGGGATTCCAGGAACCCACTTGCTGGCCCTGGATAGCACGCCCCTTGCTGGCACCGTATCACCCACCCTAAGGCTCTCTCAGGCCCAGAGGCCCAGCCCCACAGACAGCTGGTAGAGAGGTGAAAACAACTGTCTTGGGGATGTCTTCAGACACTCAGACGGCTCAGCAGGACCACACGGTTCACCTTGAGGCAGCTGTCACCAACCTGGTAAGGAGGGCCTATCTCTGGCTCATTCACGGTGCTGGAGGCAGGCGCTGTGGGCAGAAGGATGAGAAAGGGTTAAAGTTTGGCCAGGCTAGACCCCTCCTCTGAGCCAATCACCTCACTCCTGAGAACTCACTCCAAGATAATGATTGACAGAAAGAAGAATCACAAGATAAAGGCCCTCTGGTGTCACCGGCTCTGAAGTCAGGCTCACCTGGCCACTCGCCAGGGTAGGAACTCAGTAGCTCGCAGGCTCTGAGCTTCCCTTTTCTCCCTGTAGACACAGATGGCAACCCCTGCTTCCCTGGACTGCGGCAAGGGTTAAGTGAAATAGCTACATAAAGCATCAACAGTGTGAGCCATGCTCAACCACAACGACCAGCTCTTAGAAGCATTTATCACGTCCGAGGACAGAAGTGGAATGCAGAGGAGAAGAAACAGGTGAGTGACTGGGCACAATCAATGGGAAATTTCCATGACTGCTCTGACAGTATCATTTTTAGGTCCTGGGAATTTTGGAGGCATGCCGGGTACCACACTGTGAGGCCTGCAGCCTGGGAAGGAGGAGGCCAGATGGAAGGATGGGGTATCTTCTCAACAAGTCTACCTCGCTTTTGTTTTTACTGTTTTTCGAGACAGGGTTTCTCTGTGTAGTTTTGTAGAGCAGGCTGGCCTGGAACTCAGAGATCCACCCGCCTCTGCCCGCCCCCCAGTGCTGGGATTAAAGGTGCGTGCCACCACCACTTGGCAACTCTACACTTCACACTTCAGGAACCACGGGACCAGTGAAGAAGAGGAGTGTGGGAAGGGAAGGACAAACAAGGGTTTGATTAAGTCTCAGAGGGTCTGCTTCCTACTTGCTTACACAGACCCAGGACAAAGCAGGGCCCCACCCAGGAGGTCACTGCCCTGATTTCAAGTGGGCATAACCGGGCAGGGACTCCTGCGAGGCTGCAGTGAGGCCCCCAGCCTGCCACCATCATGGTGTGGTCAGGACAAGGAGTCCATTCTCAGAACAGTGATGTATGTATGCACAACAGTCTTTCCATTCACAGCCCTTAGCCATCAGGACACACAACAGCTCACTCCTGTCAAGGAAACATGTTGGAAGCACTATTTAGTCCAGAAACCAAGTAATTAAACGCTTTCATGGATATAACCAAAGTTAGTTGGTACTTATGCTCTTTCTTAAAACCCATTCTATGCATGAATACTATACTAAGAAACCCACAAATTAAAGAGGAGGAGGAAGAGGAAGACAATGACGATGACGACTACTTCTTTAAGGGACGTTCTCATTGGCCCAGGTCAGCTGTAGGGTGACCTTCTGAGTCTCTTGACTCTATCTCCTGGATTTGGTGTATTTAGGCAGGCACCTGACCCTCCCCACTCAAAAAGAACTGGTTTTTGTTTTTTTTGTTTTTGTTTTTGTTTTTTTTTTTTTTATTAAATGAGCCAACAGTAGTTCCTGCCTTTAACCCCAGCACTTAGAAGGCAGGCTGGTGTCTCTGAGGCCATGGTGAGTTCCAGACCAGCCATGGCCACATACAGTAAAACCCTGTCTCAAACAACAAAACAAAAATTAGGTAAAATACCATTACCACAAATAAAAAGTCTAACAAATGGCTAGGCATGAGGAAAAAAACCCTAGTGCTTGGGAGGCGGAGGAAGAATGTTAAAATAGAGACCAGTCTAAGCTACATATTTGAGAATAGGTCTCAAAAATAACAAAAGCAAACAATCTTTTAACACCAACAAGTGTCCACTGAGTGTTCAAATTTCCAACTGCCTCATAAATAAAAAATGGGTGGTTTGTTCTTCATCATTTAAACATTTGTATCTGTAAGGTCCCTAACTCTTCTGGCTAGTTTTATATCAACTTCAAACAAGACAAAGTATTTTGAGAGAACCTCATCTGAAAAATGTCCCCACTACATTGGTCGGTGGGCAAACCTATGGTACATGTTCTTCACTGACCAGCACCCAAGCTCACTGTCCTCAATGCCACCCCTGGGCTGGTCCTAGGTCTTCTGAGAAAGCAGGCTGAGCAAGCCATGAGAGCAAGCTAGCCAGCATCCCCCTCCTAAGGCCTTTGCTTCAGTCCCTGCCCTGACTGCCCTTCATGATGGATGGTGATCTGGACATGTAAAATGAAATAAACCCTCTCCTCCCTAAGTTGTTTATGGTCATGGTGTTTATCATAGCTACAGAAACTCTACCTACAACACTGGCTTGTCAATCTCCTCAGCAAACTCGATGAAAAGGCCCAAAGCTCAATAATTCATTTGATTTGCTCAGGATCACCAGCTATTAGATGAAGACAAAGCCTAGCCCAAAGCACAGTGTTCTTTCCTTAATACCAAGCTGTCTGACAGTCAGTAACCCTTCCTTCCTGTCCTAACATCCCCTTGCTTGTTGGAGAAGAATCATCAGAGTACCCCCCACCTAATAACAATGTACCCACTTTATTCACATGAAAACCAATCTGGGTTAAATCCAAACAGCAGATGACCAGGACTCAGCTTTTATCCTGTCCTTCAATTCAGCATGGAAACAAGGACCCTCAATAACCTCAACTCTCACAGCAAACTGTTTCTATTAGAGGGGAGGCAGCAATTTATATTCTAGTTGTACATCAATGTGATACCAGCAAAGGCAAAGTCAGTCTCAATGCAGGCCGTGAAGACCATGTCCATCAAAGCGCAAAGGACAGGCATGTCTGTACTGTGATGAAGTGCACTCAACCCTTCCTGCTGAATCATCTTCCACAAAACTGGTCAGCAACAGCACACAGACACACACAAAAGAGTTGGAAGGGAGGGGAGAGGGAGAGAGAAAAAAAGAGAAACACACACAAAAAGAACAACTGTAGGCTAACACTAATAAACGGAGCTAAAATCTCAGGTGAACTAGACTGTGAACAAAGTGATATGCCTCTCTTAAGTAGTAGGCCCTTCTCTTCTCAGAGAAAAGGAAAGCGGCATGGTAGAAACGGGTCTGAAACTCTGGCACTTGGAAGAGATACATCTGTGTCCAGTCTGAACAACACAGAAAGAACCCATCACAAACAGAACAGGACAAAACTGAAGAAATCGAAGATGAGACAGTTGGTGCATGCAATCCTATCATTTGAGAGGCTGAGCTAGAAGTTTAAAACCATCCAGGGTTATGCAATAAGACCCTGTCTCAAATAAACTAAACAAATGAAAAGAAACCAACAGGAATACCGAATAAGCCACTGAATTTGGAATTCAGACAGTTGAATATTAGGAATGCTATTTAATGAATCATTATAACTCAAAATGGGGATGATACTAAAAGGGCATGCACGGGACCTGCATTTTCAGACAACGAAAGCTAGTGTGGAGAGGAAAAGGAAAATGTCATAGAACAGCCCCATGTGTGTAGTAACATGGGATATAAAGGCAGAAGACTTCAGATGCTTAAGGACAGACAGACAACCTTTACTTCAATGGGCATGAAGATTTACAAGCATGATGGTGTTTGTACTTGCAAGGCTGAGGCTACATAACAAAACCCTGCCTCAAAAACAGAAGTAAAAGCTGGGCGGTGGTGGCACATGTTTTTAATCCCAGCACTTGGGAGGCAGAGGAAGACAGATCCTTGTGAGTTTGAGGCCAGCATGGTTTACATACAGAGCCCATTCCAGGACAGCCAAAATTATACAGAGAAATCTTCTCTCAAAAAACAACAAAAACAAGCCCGGTGGTGGTGACACACACGTCTGATCTCAGCACTCGGGAGGCAGAGGCAGGCGGATCTCTGTGAGTTCGAGGCCAGCATAGCCTACAAGAGCTAGTTCTAGGACAGGCTCCAAAAGCCACAGAGAAACCATGTCTCAAAACAACAAAACAAAACCGGAAAAAAAAAAAAAAAAAAAAAAAAAAACCCACAAAACAATGAAAACAGGAATGAAGAGGGTCAAATATAAATACAGGCCTCTATGCTGCTCTTACACAGGGAAACCTGTCTCAAAACACAAACAAAACTGGCCAGCTATAATTCTAACAGACGTGGACGGCCTCAGCCTGGTCTACATTACCAAGCTCCTGACCAGACAGGACCATACAGTGAGACCCTATATCTCAAAATTCAATATTATTATTTTATTATTATTAGCTATATGCCAGTAATTCTAGCAATTGGGAGGTTGAAGTAAAATGATCATGGCTTTTAGGCAAACCTGAGCAATTTAGCAAGACCTTGTCTTAAAAATAACACAAAGGAAGGAACTGGAAAGATGAATCAGTAGGCTAAGTGCTGAATAGGTATAAGGGCTGAGTTCAGATTTCCATTCATAAAATTCTTATGGTGGACATCTATAATCCTGGGAGCCCAGTCTGCCCAATCTTAGCAGAAATGACAAGTTCCAGATTCACCAAGAGATCCTGCTGCAAGAACCACGGTGGAGAAATGAATGAGGAAGATACCCCAATGCCAGTCTCTGGCTCCTATCCTGTACAAGTGTGAGCAACACACGCGCACGCACACATACACACGCACGCACGCACGCATACATGGAACCCTAGGTTAAATCCTAAACATTACCAAAAACCACCAAGACACTGGGTGAGAGATCAGTAGTTGGGAGATAGAGAAGAGTATCAAGAGCTCAAGGCAATCCTCAGTTACATATCAAACTCAGGACCAGCCGGATCCTGTCTCAAAGAATATAATATGTAGGGGCTAATGAGATGGCTCGGTAATTAAGAGTGCTTCATATTCTTACAAAGGACCGGAATTTGGTTCTCAGCACCCACACAGTGGCTTACAAGTGTCTTTAGCTCTAATTCTAAGGGATCTGGAGCCCTCTTCTGGCCTGAGGGCTGAGGAATGCATACATATACATTCAGGCAAATAAAATAAAAGACAGCTGCTGACTGGGATAAAGCATAAGAAACTGTGTAACAAAGAACTGATATAAAGCCACCATGTGTCAAAATACAGACAGGTGACCAAGATCCAACTCCAAAAAGCTGTCCTCCAATTCCCACATATGACACAGCTCATTACCTGGGAAGAGGAGCCCAAACTGAGAATGTTCCCATCCTTCACATACATGCAAGTCTAGAGAGCATTCACATGCATGCAAGTCTAGAGAGCATTTTTTTTTCGACTATCGATCCATGTGGGAGGGTCAAGCTCACCGTGGGCAGTGCCACTCCTAGGAGGGTGGCCCTGGCTTCTATAAAAAGCAAACTGAGTGAGCCATAAAGAACAAGGCAATAAGCAGTGTTACTCCTCGGCCTGGGACTCAGTTCCTGCCCTGATTTCTGTTCATGATGGACTTTAAGGTGGAATAACTATTTCTTCCCCAAGTTGTTTTTTGTTATGGTCTCTATCACAGCAATTAAAACCAAACTAAGACAACACACATTCCACAGAACATGTGCCCACATGTAAACAGCACAGAGACAGACATAGATATTTAATTAAAAAAATTAAAACCTGGGAAAGTTTCCACCAAGCTATTACAGTATCCATGAAAATAGCACCATGAGAAATTTAAACACTTTTAAAATTTTTATTTATTTATACTTTATGTATGGGTGCTCTCCATGTATACCCGCATTCCAGAAGAGGTCTGCAGGTCCTATTACAGACGGTTGTTGAGCCACCATAGAGTTCCTGGGAATTGAACTCAGGACCTCTAGAAGGACCGCCAGTACTCATATCTGCCAAGCCATCTTTTCAGCCCCAATTTAAACATTTTCTAAATTATATTATTCCTAAAATATTCCAATAATTTAAAGTAAGCACAATTATTTTTGTAATTAAAAAAAAATAATAAAAACACTAGGCCAATGCCAGACAGTGGTGGTGCATGCCTTTAATTTCAGCACTTGTGAGGCAAAAGGAGGTGGATGTCTGTGAGTTCAAGGCCAGCCTGGTCTACAGAGAGTTCCAGAACATCCAGCGCTACACAGAGAAACCCTGTCTCAGAACAAAACCAATAAAAAAAAACTCCACTAGGCCACAGAGACAGTTCAGTGGGTAAAGGCTCTTGCCACGAAGCCTGATAAACCTGCCTGGTCGCCAGAACCCACAGGCACCATGGCATGAGCACACATTCGCGCGTGCGCACACACAAATAATGTAAAAAGGAAGGATGAAGGAAGAAAAGCATTTCCAACCCCTCTAGATGCCAGGCTCTGGTCTGTGCACAGCCCTTGCTAAAAGTGGGGAGAGAAGGGCTTAGCGAGCGGCTTGGGAACTGTAGGTGCTGCAGCACTGTGGTGGTCGGAGATAAGCAGTTCCCCACAGGGAAGGGCACCACGAGGAAGAAGTGTCACTGTGGTGAGCTCAAGCTCTGCCCAGTGCGCCACACATTCGCCTTCTGCCCGCAAACCAAGGCGGAGCGCTCTCAGCGCCTTTGTAGTGCCAGGTTGGCTGCCATGCTCCTGATAATGGACAAACCTCTGAAACTGAGTATTTTCCTTTGTAAGAGTTGCCATGGTTACGATGTCTCTTCACTGCAACAGACCTAAGTAAGACAAGTACCCACCTTCTGTGTGCCCAGGCAGGCTGGCCTGGCGGAAGGACAGGACCGGGCCCACCTGTAGATAAGTAACCCACACAGCTCCTTGCCCATATGCAGAAGGCCTGGCTGAACTGAGCTTCTGGAGAATGGCACAATGTTGGACCAGAACTATTTCTGCTTGGCCTATCTTTGGATGGTTCCTCAGATCAACATTTTTAGGTTAAGAGCATATTATTTTACTTTAAAAAGACGTAATAAAAATCAGTAAGAGGAACTGACGGCGACTTCTAGGTAAGCCCTAAAAAAACCTAACTGTACCCTAAAGACAGCAATAAACACAAGGTCTGAGAATCAGCTTCTTCTCACAAGCTCTGAATAATGAAACCAAGAGTGGAAGGAGAAAAGAAGAGGAGGCAAATGCACAAAAACATTATACCCCAGCCATGGCCACACTTGAGTATTCACAAACTCAATCCTCACAATAGCTATGAGTTTTATAGATAAGGAGACTCAAAGAAGCCCTGCCTTGCTCAAAGTGACAAAGCTGTAAACCTCAGGGTTCAAATTTGAATCTGGTCTGCCAACAAATTTAGTGCAACGGCAGCTACGGTCAACCCTCTGGATGGCCCTGAATTTACCAGGATTAGGGCTCACTGCCTGGGTCTGTCCAAGCCAACTTACCTGTGAGCTAGAGGGCAGAATCTGGGAGGTGGGCTCCTCGGATGGTGCTGCTCCTGAGCCGATAGGGCTTAGGGTGGTGATTCTGCTTGGCTGGCCACGGAGTGTCAGGGTAATGGTGGTGGGGACCTTTAAGCCTGAGGAAGAGACAGGAAGATGGGATTCATAGCCTCTTTCTTGCCATGTAAAACACACTCTTGGCTTCACATACTCTTGGCTTCCTTCCTGGGTGGGTAGGTCTACCCCATCAGTCAATGTGAAAGGCAACAGGAAACTTCCTGTGTTGTCTAGACCTCCCTGGGGGCTGGCTCCACAGAGCTGAATCCAAGCATCAAAGCCAGGACAGGTGGAGCTGGGTTTAGACCTGGTCTAAGCGAAACGGCTACTAAAAGAGCTAAGGAAAAGCCCAGATCTGGAGCCCGCATTATCTTCATGAGACTTACCTGATGCTTGGTTAGAAATCTGAGCCAGGCCAGGTAGACTGCTTGCCAACTTAGCGAGGCCCCCATTGGTCAGCAGCTGGTGGATGGCAGTGGGCTTCCCACCAGGCGTGGCACCCAAGGAGGAGAGAGTGGTGGCCACAGGGATGGTCCGGACAATGGTGCTCGTGCCCGTGGTGATGGCACCCAGGCTCTGCATGGGGGTTGGCAATTTCACACTGGTGGCCTATTGGACAAACAACCAAATGATTAAAAGTTACCACCCAACAGCAACACGAGAGCCCGAGAGCCCACAGCACTATCAAAAGCTAACACGTACAGTGTGCACCACATGTTAAGGTGCTCTTCCAGGAATTTTGCATATGTCAGCTTTAATCATCACAAATATACGAGGGAACTAATATTATTATCATCTTATTTTATAGATAAACAAGATGAGAGGTCAAGAATCTCACCCAAGGCCATATACTGTCATAGATTATAACGTCTGGTAGCTTTTTTGGCTGCATATTTAGAAGGTTCTTTGTCCTTAACCCACTAACCCCTGAAAAAAATTAAGGAGTCCTAATCCCACACTGTCCAACACAGCATATGACATACCTGAGGAGCTGGCCCTGGGGAGGGACTTCCTGGGAGGCCAGAGGTCTTGCTGCTAATGTCCTGTAAGCTGAAGCTGAGGCCTTGGAGGAGGCTGCTGGCTGAAGCGGCTCCTAAGAGAGGACAAGGCAGGTAGCAGCTGGTCAGTCACTTGTATACAACCACAGGTAGCAAAACTTTCACCCTTGCAACAACTTAAACTTGCCATAAGACACTGCCCTGTCCTCAGAAGCTCCCAGGAGTCTCCTCAGCAGAGACAGTAGATGCCACGCCACGAGAGGGGCTACGTCAGACACTGCTGCCTGGGATGTGCTCTGCACACCCCAACCTGTCCTAAGCCAGCAGTCCTTCATTCTGAACAGCATTAGGAACACCAGAGATCTAGATTCCCACTTTTCAGAACCCTAAATCCTCTTTATTTCCCAGTAAGAAGAAAGACTTCTGAAGCCAGGTGGATTAAGATACCTGATCACACTACACACAGTCCAACATTCTCAAATTAAAAATCTGCTTCAAGGAAAGGTAATTCAGCAACGGTCTCAGTTATGGGATCAGGCAATCAGCCCTTCCACATAGGCTGGGGTCAGAAAAAGTCAGTGACAAACAGAAAAAACATAATCTCATTTTGCTAATGTCCAGTTGGCACCACCTCCAGCTTCATTTGGACAGAGGCATTAGAAAGGAGAAGCCCACAACAGGCACTGCCTAGCCTCACAGTAGAGGACAAAGAATTTCCCTCGTTCAAGCTAATTCGGGCTTCTGCAATCACAGGGAGAGCAGAGATGTCACCTCTAGCTCCAGTTTCAGAGCTACTGGTCTAAGACCACCCTCCAGCAGCCTACCCAAAAGACTGCTGGTGGAGATACCTGCAAGGGAGCTGCCAGGAGACGTGGCCACCAGGCGGCTCTGCAGTGTGTGGATGGCGTTGGGTGTGGCACTGCCGGGGGCCACAGATGGGGCTGCACTGGCCATAACTCCGCCTTCAGAAGAACTTGACCTGGAAACAAAGGAAAGAGCCCTGTCACCCAAAGGGCAGCAGTCCACAAAGCGGGGCTCCAGAGGGAAGCCTAGCAAGGAAGAATTTTCTGTTTCTTTGTTTCAGCTTCTAAGTCTCAAATTTATCCTTCTAAAAGTCAGGCCTAAATTAAAGAACTGAGGTCTTAAGTAAAGTCAGTGGACGCTCTGCGATTTCATAAGGAAAAATGAACTCTAAACTGACAGAAATGAAGGCAAGTTCCCAATCAGAAAGAAGTCACATGCTCGTAACAGACGGACCCAGAATCTCTCAACTTTCTTCAACACCAAATGAGGCAGAAATTAAGTGAAGGGAAGAGGGACTAGGAAAGACCAAAGGCAGACTCACTTGGCTGTGGTGAGAAGTCCCGTGAGTTCCTTGGCTCCCACTGAAGCTCCCAGCGCCATGGTGATGGGTTTCCCCCCTGCAACTGCAAAACAAACCCCAAGACCAAAGGTCAGTCCTAACTTGTCCCATAACCACGGCTAAATTAAAGACTGGAAGGCAAAAAAGAACAGCTGTGCTGTTACAGGAGAGTCAGGTTCTTCCTTCCTTCTACCTTTTAAGCTTTCTGGAGTATCTCATTATCTTAACTGAAAACCAGAAAGGAAAAGTAGGAAATACTCTAAATGGCCCCCAACTACCCCTACGTCGTCTCCCCTGTCAGTTAAGACAAGGTAACTGCCACATTCCACCACGTTGTGACCACAGACCACCTCTGTCCCAGCTGTCCTTCACACTGACAGAGGCTGGGTCCCCTGCCAGACTGTGTGCCTGGAAAAGCTGGTCAGCCTTTACCAACACGCCACAAAAGACCCACCTTCAGGTGCTCCACCTTGAGGGAGAGCACAAGGCCCTCCAGCCGCATCCCCCTGGGAGATGAGGGACACCTTGATCTTTGGTCGCTTGGAAGGCTTTGCGCCAGGAAGAGGACTGGAAGGGTGGTACCGCTTCAGCTGGACCCTAAGCTCCTCCTTCTCTGGCTCCTCCATGGGCTCTGATGAAATAGGAACTAAGAAATGGAGCACAGTTAAGACTTCCATAAGCTTATGAGAATGGCATACGTCTAGCAAGCAGGAGCAGCCATGGGGGCAAGCCCCAAGCACAGGTTACACCTCAAACTCACACTTGTACCTCAGCTCCCACCCATTGGGGACCTCAAAGATAGCTCTAGCTCATCCAGCTGCCCGGGGCTACTCTCTGGCTCTCAGGAACTACTGGGTGAGGCAGTATCTCAGGTGCTGCCCAAAGATAACAGGGAGGTGGCCCAGGTCATCGCTTCGTCTGAGGCTCCCATGAGCTCAAACACATCGCGGTCTCAGTTCTCCTGACTTATACTCCGAAGTCTCCTCCCTTTAGTTCTTAGCACAGGAAAACAGGCTTGGGTAGGGAGGGAGACGGCAGTTCAATGAATTGGGGGGGGGGGTCCCTGTCATGGGGCCACAATGAGGGAATCAATTACTGGTGAGAAGGACTGCTTAGAGGTAAATGACTGTCTTCAGACAGGAGGAAGGCAAGGGCTCTAAGAGCCTGGAGCGCTTACAGCAGTCAGGATGGAAACAAACAAGGCAGGGAGAGAACAGGCCAAGGAGATGCCGGCTTGCAGGCAACAGGCCAAAGGCACACCAGAGAAACAGAACCAAGAAGCATGGCAGAAAAACCACAGCGGGAAACCAACCAACCAAGCAAGCAAACAAAAAACAAAACAAAACAACAACAAACCCACCACCATGAGACACCAACAGATAAAACTGAAGGCAAAGGCCACTGCGTAAGCAAGGGGAGCTGGCGGCCGTCAGGAGACGAGTGGCGGGCAGGGGAGGAGAGCAAGCCGAGGCGAGCAGGTGAAAGCAATACTCACCAAAGAGACAGGAGGAGGCGCCGGGAGGAAAAGCTTTCCTCACCAGCATGTTTTGTTTCAGAAAAGCAGCAAACTGTGCTGGAATGAATCAGAGAGAATTATAGAATCACAGCCAGCTGGAAAATGGAGGGACAGAGTGGGAACCAGGAAGAGATGAAAATGGTCAGCGTGTGCTCTTTCTGAGGCATCTACATGGATCTGGAACCTGACTTTGCTGTGTACTTGCCACATGGGGCCATTGCCAAGCCTCAACACGCTAGGACAAGTCAACTCCAGAGAGGGACTGCGGGCAGTGCAGACTCTGTTTATATTAGCTCCCTACCCACCCATCAGCTCTGCCACCATGGTTTAATGGCTACTGCTGTCCCCATTGACATTCTTAGGTCTCATCCTAAACCAGCTCATGACTCAGCTTTCAGGATCACCTTTGTGTCTCCACTAATCATGCTACCCAGACAGAAATACAGCAATCTGCTAGTTCTGCCTCCACCATGTTTCTCAGAGAGCCCCACCAGGGACTCAGCTGTTCCCCGCCACTGAGGGTGGGAGCCAGGCTACAGGGCGTCCACAGACGGCAGGTGCCTCTTCTGTTGCCTTCACCCACACTCACACCTGCGAGTAGCATTTCATAAGATGCCTGGGTTTAAGTGATAACTCTCTGGCTCCATTAAAAGCAAAAGCGGACGAGAGCAGAGGATCACATGGGGATGGGGGTGGAGTAGACCCACATAAGGGACAGAGCCACTGAGCTTCTGTCCTGACTCAGTGAATTTCCCCTTTCCTATGGCTCCCCAACACAAATGTTTCCCACCCTCAACTGAAGCTTAACCGCAGAACCCTGACCAAATCTGAGAACCCATCACGGAACTCTCTTCAAGACCCAAACAAAGAAGGGCAAGGTGGGGCTGGCCTAGAATCTGAGGAATAAAATCAGTCACCCTGTGCTCACCATCTGCAAAGCCCTCTGACTCCAGGAAAGGTTGGCAAAATATGTAGTTTCTCCAACTAGTAATCAGAAGAAAGGTCTGGCCACTACACAGTCAGCTCCTAAGCTCAGTGTCTCTAGCACACTAACAGACAAGGCTGTGATAAGGAACACAAAGCCTAGTCCCACACAGCCTTGGGATTCATTCCAACCTGGTTTTGTCTAGAAGCAATATAGGAAAGGGTGCCTTCCAACTGCCACATGACAGACACTAGCTGCAGGGGACAGAGCCCGCTGGGACTGCTGGGCCAGAGCATACCTTGGGCTTGTTTGTGGGTCAGCACAGCTTCTGTCCTCTGTACGTGTCTTTTCAGCAGCTGGGAAGTCCCAATCTGACTGGACTTCTGGGCAGAGGTCACAGTGGCCACTTTGGTCTTAGGGCTGGACGTGGGGCTACTGGACACACTGGAGAGATCCTGGGTAAAGAAGGTCCAAAGAGGTCTGGCACAGCTCCCTGGATCTCCCCATAGGAATTCCTGGATATCCCACAAAGGAATACCCAATTATGCATCTTCACACCTCAACAAAGGTGCTCCCTCCCTGCCCACACTACCTCTGAGCCTGAGGGGGAGGCAGGGAGCTTGGCAGCTGGGGAAGCAGGTCGACTGCCTCGCTCGGGAATTTCAAAGGCCAAGTCTCTTCGGGGCAAGTCCCGGGGCTTCTTTTTCTTCTCAGCATCCTGATCCCTAGGTTCAGATCCCACATGCCCTTCAGCACGAGTGAGCACCCCAGTCAGGAAGTCCACGATCTCATCCTAGTGTGACAAGAAGCCACGTCCCAAGTCTTCCTCTGGACAGCAGGACCCTACCATATAACACCAGCTGTACAGAACTCTAGTCCCAAATGACGGTTCTTCCCACTCACAAAGCCACACGCAGGCCAAGCTTCTTGGCAAAGACCAGCAGGCGCCTATGTGAAAGTAGCTCTGGGCACTCCCCAGCCCAAGATGCCTCACCCACCCCCCATTTCTTTGTTTGTGATTTGGGTATGCCACAGAACCTACTTGATACCCTTCATGGTCCAGAGTGGGTAAGCTGCTGCCAGTAAGACTAAATCTAAGGCAACAGAGAAGAGGGTCCAGCTACAAAAGAAGAGAAAAAACCTGTTTACCTGAATACATCTGTCCACCATGCTTTGAGTCAACCCTTCTGATTTCTTCTTTGCTTTGCTTATTCTGAGAGGAAAGAGGAGAAACAATGAGCTGACTGAGTAGGTAAAAGCGCTGGCAGGACAAGTCTAACGGCTCTCAGAGAAAGCCCAATGTAAGTTCAAACTCTGCCACCCAGAGTAAAAGGAGAGAGCCGACCTGCACACACATGCCATGCTCCATGTCCCGGCACATACATGTGTACCTCCATTCACACACTCCTCTCTCTTCCTCTTCTTCCCAACACACACAGAAAGGGAGAGACTCTGTCTCAAAATAACAAAAACCTGGTTTCTGACTAAGGCTCCTGGAAAAGGAAACCAGGACCCAAGTTATACAATGGGAGAGTGACATTATTAAATCTATATTTACCCTCCAAAATGACTTAAATGAAGCTTAATACAAATAATACCTATGTTCATGTTGATTCTCCAACCTGAGATGCTCAAGACTTACAGTTAAAGGACAGAACTAATGCCAACTTGTGCTCTGACTTCCAAGGGTACGGGAACCCTCGAACACAAAAAAACATTTAATTATGTTTTTAAAGCAAGGTGTGGTAGTGTACACCTTTAATTTTGGCACTCAGGTAGCAGAGGCCGGCAGATCTCTATGAGTTTGAGGCAAGCCTGTCTACTTAGAGAGTTACAGGACAGCCAGGGCTACAGTAGAGAGACCCTATCTCAAATAAGTTTAAAAATCAAAATGTAATGAACAGTATTCCTCTAAGCAAAAGTCTGATGTCAAAGCTACAGTCTCAAAATATTTTTTCCCAAGTGACTGGCAGCTATCTCTGATTTTGCATTAACACCATCATTTTTCAGTTCAGGAGGGTGAGTTACAGAAGTTAAGCAACTTACCCAAACTTCCACATAAAGGAATTAAGACTAAGACATTTCCCAACCCTTAGGCCAGTGATTCCAACCTATGCCAATGCCATCACAACTCAATAGCAGCCAGCATTCTTATCCTTCCCCATTCCCTCAACACAACTTAATACACACATGCTCTATTCTCTTGTGGATCAGCTGAATATCCACAAAAACAACATGTTTACATGAAAACATTGAGTTGAACATCAACAATCAAGTGGCAAATGACAAAGGACAGAAAGACTCCTCCAAGAAGCCCCAGTAGAAACCAAACAGACAGCAACAAGCATTTATTTGCCTAAGCTTCCCGTATGTCTTTAGCCCCAGTTCTTGTGAGTTCGAGGTCAGCCTGGCCTACAGAGTTCCAGGACAGTCAGAGCTCAACAGTGAAACTGTCTCAAGAAACAAAAGCCACTACAGGTCAAGGTTTTTCTAAGACTGACTTCCAGAAACCCCTCCCAAAACTTGGTTTTATTTATACTTCAAAATGTACCCAGTCAGGCTTAACACGAGTAAATCTGTATTCTCACTGATCCTAAGGGAACAAAAAAATTAAATGTCTACCCCAGGAAAAGTCTGATGAATCTCAAAAGTATCTTCTTCCCACAAGATGACTCCTAATTACAAAGGGGAAAATAATGATTTCACAGTGGAGGAACCCACAGCAGCTATCTCAACTACGTGATCAAAGTTCTTATCAGTTGTAATAAGACAAATTGAATCATGAATCCCCTGATGACAGAATACACTGAACATCTTCAATGTAATCCCAAAATATTTTTTTTAAAAACTATCTGTAACATAACTGATCAACTGTCTTTAATGGTGTCAAGGTCATAGAAAACATGGGCATGAAGATTTAGTAGTTTGGGCAGAAGGATGTATTCAGTCATGGCCATGGTAAATCTGAGTACAGCCTAGGCTACAAAAAATCCTAGCTCAAAAAAGAGACACAGACTCCAGGGAGACACTGATGAAATCTGAGTCTGTTATTTAGACTAAACAATGCTATCAAAGTGACATTAGTTTCCACATTTTGAAGATTGTATTTTGGTTATATAAGAAACTCTAGGTGAAGGATAGATGTGATTTCAGCTTTTTGTTTTAAATTTTTGAGACATGTTCAAGGGCCAGGCTGACCTCACAATGAATCCTTCTGCCTCAGCCTCCTGAACATATACTGAGATTACAGGATGCAACTTTTAATTGCTATTTCGGTCACACTGGTCTGTCATTATACACTGCCACCAGAAAGCAATTTTTAACATTGTAACATGCTCCCTCTCAGCTCTAGAGCAATGTACCCACCTGAGATTGTCATCCGCTCCCCCCACCACCACCAAGCTGTTTTCCGCTCTAATCTTCTCCCGGAAGTCCTCCATGGATTCGGGGTGACACTGTAGAGAGTTCTGACCGATGACAAAGAGGACTGGAGTCTTCATGTCCAAGAGAGGGTCATCCACATCCTAAAGGAGGCAGGCAGCAGTTTAGATTCAGTCAACTGGTGCTCAGGAAGCCCTGCCCTTCAAGCTGGTCACTGCGCGAGGCCTCACTCCTCCCGGGTCCCGGGTGCGGCGTGCAGGCCACTGGACCACACTCCTGTTGTCCCCACTCCCACAGACGAAGACCACCCAGTTTCACCGCGCTCTTACCCCCCGGGGGCCATCCACAGTAAGCAGAGGAAACCCAAGGCAGACAACCGCAGTGACGTACTCCATCACAGACACCTGTAAATAAAGGCACATTCATCTTTTGGCCAGTGAACCCACGGCAGGAGGGACTGCCTAGCTTAGATCCACCAGTCAGTCCCAGCTCTTCCTGCTTGCCCTAGCTTTCAGTTTTGGCGGCCTCGACAGGATTAAGTATACAGAACACAGGCAGTCACTTCCCAGAACTGACCCCAATGGACCACCCCAACACACACCCGAGCCTGATGGAGTGGTCATATTTCAGCCCTGTCAGCAACCTCGACTACAGCCCTCCTCACTTTGCTATTGAGAACAAATATAAGCAAAGGACACAATGTTGCCAGGCAGGGACATACAGCTAGCCCAGAGTAGCACACCTCCCAAGTGCAAACCCTGGGTTCCATCCCCAGTACACAGGGAAACACAGATGCCAACCCTGTCCCTTCCATGGAGAAATCTCCCACCAGCGGTTCTAAGGGGTAGCACCTACGCAGCTGAGACCTCTCAAGGTAAGTGGCTACCGATAGTCTGCCCAGGGTGTGCAGACAGGACAGATGCTTGTTCTCACTACTCTAGATGCCACATTGACTATGCTGGTTGGAAGAAGTGTGTGTTGCTTTCAAAAGTCAAGGACACTTAGACAAGCTGACATATACATGCAGGAAAAAAAATGTCTCTTGATATTTATAAAGGAACCAAACACAACCACAACATCAAACTCAAAACGAATTTGTCCCCATTTGAAATGTTAAGGAGAGAACACAGTAAGAAGTCTGGAGAAAAGGAATCTTTTTTTCCAGAGATACATGCTCAAACATATATAAATGAAATACAGCATTTGGAACTTTCCCCCCTCTCCAGACAGGGTTTCTCTGCGTAGCCCTGGCTGTCCTGGAACTCAAGAGATCCATATGCCTCTGCCTCCTCTGTCTGGCTGTATTTGGAACTTTTTAATAACTGTTTTATTGTCTTCTCCTAAGAAGTTTGGGCTAGCACAGAACTCACTATATATAGCCCAAGCTAGCGCCAAACTCAGGGCAATGTCCCTGCCTCAGCCGACCTACCTAGTGCTAAGATTATAAGCATGTGTCATCACACTTCGAAACTTTCTTCAAAATAATCTGGAGCACAGAGAAAGTGGGCAGGAGTAAGAGGAAAGTAAGCCTGGCTATGAGGTGATCTCTGGTAAAACTAAGAGATCAAGGAATTTACTTACTACTCTATTCTTCCTATAATAACATTTCCATAACAACATTTAAAAAACTAATGAGACTGTCTTCCACAATGCACATGCAGTTTCCCATGCCAAGTATCTAGCACAAAGACAAAGAAGAATTCAAAGTAATAATAGCAGCGCTGTTTCCATGAGAACATTAAGTTTTCAGTGATCTCCAAATAAAACATAAATTACTTACATGACAGGCCACCACAGCTCCTGTACTCCATCCAATCAAGATGATGGGTTTGTGTGGGAAATGGCTGTGAATCTTTGTGCAAGAGAAAGAGAGTAAACAAGAGACTGCACGGGCACAGAACAGTCCCGCACCCTGGGTGCGCCCCTGTGGACAAACCCAGGCATCCTCACCTCCAGCACTTTGCTCCTCAGCGCTCCGATCATGTGCTCAAGGCACTGCAGAACTCCCACTCCACTACCGTTGTTCAGCAGATGCGTGGCTACAGGAATGACCTAAGGGGGGGGGGGCATCCGTGTCACAAGTGCCAAGTTTCAAGCCTCAGTTCTGCTTCACTTATCCCAAACCACTCACAGGTGATTGAAAGGTAAGAGGATAAACCACATTTGAGTTCAATAAACTTGCCCCCTCCCACACACCCTTCTCTTTAACCCTCCAAGACTACATTCCCACCCAGAACCCCTCGGCCTCACAATCACCTTGCCTAAGCAGGAAAGCTGTGACTGCCAGAAGCGATGGCGGCGTGAGGCAGGGAACACAGAGCTGGAGGGTCCAGAGGAGGCGATGAGGATCAAGGGAGAGCCCGGGAGCTTGCTCTGAGGAGACAATCCAATCCAAGACCACTGAGTGCGAGGTATTCATTCATCTCCCCATAAACTCTCAGCAACTGCATCCCAACGCTTTACACCAACCACCGACCCTTCGCTTGTGGCTGGAGACAGCTCAGCAGACGGGAGCACTCCCTGCTCCTCCAGGGAAGCAGAGTTCGGTTCCCAGCACCTATGCCACCTGCCTATAACTCAGTTCCCTCTCCTGAGCTCCGTGAGCACTTGCACTCAAGTGCAGACCCCCACTTCAAAATAAATGAGCCTTTAAGAAGAACCCAAGCACTAACTTACGGGCTTGTTATGAGAAAGCACGCCGACAGCAGGGTCCCAGGGCCTCTTGAGGAGGAGCGACAAGGCCTCTGCCCCTGCGGCCCCTGTCTTAGTGTTGGACGACACAAGCATCCGGTCGATCAGGGTTGGGATCTACAAAGAAGGGTGAGCAAAGATATTTCCAGTGTCAAGTGAGAACCTTCCTTCCAGCAGCAATGTGCTGCAAGACAGAAACCCACCGGACTCTTAACTCTTACGCACGGCAGATCAGTGCACAGCTAAGGTACACTCCCACTGTGAAAGAACACAGAGCTCTTCCTCTGGAAGGCAATGTAGTAGCTACACCAATGGACTGAAGTTTACCATCCCTTGCCCAGATGACTATACTTTGGGCCCCCTTTCATATCAGAAAACACAGAAGTCATGGTGACACTCCATGTGATTCCAGCACTTGGGAGATAGATGGAAGAGAATCAGAAAGTCAAGGTCAACCTCAGCTACACAGGGAGCAACCTGGGATTCATCAGACCCCGACTGAAAAACAGAAAAATAAACATCTGCACTATCTTCTGGACACAGCCTTCCAGTTGAGACACGTATAATGAAACCTGTTATTGTTCCCCCAAAATATATCCTACTATATTGTGATTTGTATCATATCCTGTTTTTAACTATCCCCCAAAAAGTTACCTCACCAATATATAAATACAGGTTTCAGTCATGCTGATGCTTAAACTGCAAAGGAAAATTTCACAAATCCCACAATACCCACAGAGAAGTAAAAACAATCTCAAAGAAAGAAAAGATTTTTATGTGTTATAGGCAGTTTTCAGAGGCATTTTAAAATGGTTTCCAGACACTAGAGAATATGGTTTGGGGTAGGCATAAAATGCCAAAGGAAGCAGGCTAAGAAGATGAGCTAGCTACTCCTAACTCCCTAACTCAGGAGAGGGAGTGAGGGAGGGGAGGAGAGGGAGGGAGGGAGGAAAGAGGAAGAGGAGACAGAGACATGCAGAGACATACAGACTGATTAGAACCCGGGAGTAACTCTTACTTAGGATTTGCAAGGCCCTGGGCTGATCCACAACACAAAATAATTAAAATAAAATGAACATCGCACTGTGGTATGTAACTTGAAATTCTTTATCTGTACTCCATATAAATACTTCAGACAAGTAAGTTTAACAAGACTGGAATCTGGGCCCAACACTCAGGAAACTGAGGCAGGAGGATATACAACTCATGGCCAGCAAAGGGGAACCGTCTCAAAAAATAATAAACAGCAAACAAAGGGAGAAGAAACACCAAGAGCATCTGTGCATGAGGTTTTGAAAATCGTAATCTCTACACTGCCTCAGATAACTCAGAAGTGTTTATACAGCAGCTGCTCTTACAAAGCACCAAGCCAATTCTGCAGAGGGATTTAACCTCCAAGGGTTAGAAAGACAAACCATGGGGGGGGGGGAGCAGTCCTAACTGCCAGGAGAGACATAGAAGCCCTACACAGAGCAGAGTGGGCAAACGGGAAATTCACATCCGAAGCAGTAACACTACAGTGACTCCAGCATGAAATGAGTTATCAGCCAGATGCACACACGGCTGGGCAGGTAGCCCACTCCTGTACCCCAAAACTTGGGAAGCAGGAGGAGAATTAAAGCAAGTTGAAAGCCTATCTGGTCTACATAGCAAGTTTCAGGCCAGACAGGTTACCAAGTAGGACAAAAAGCAAGGATGTGTAGTGTTTATTCCAGACCAATGTGGACTTAAGAAACAGATTCCAGGGCTGGAGAGATGGCTCAGCAGTTAAGAGCCCTGGCTGATCTTCCAGAGGTCCTGAGTTCAATTCCCAGCAACCACATGGTGGCTCACAGCCATCAGTAATTGCATCTAATGTCTGGCCTGTAGGCGCATACATACAAGCAGAACACTCATACAAAAAAAAAAAAAAAAAAAAAAAGAAAGAAAGAAAGAAAAAAGAAGAAACAGATTCCAGCAGGGAAGTAGGAACACACAGTTAAAGCCAAACTGCAAAGGGGTCAGCATCCCAAACCGGCCATTCTTTATAACCCCCTCTCTAATCATGGGCCACAACACTGAATACTGGGCTTATAACACTTTCTCAGACAGCAGAGCTTATCAATGAAACCGAAAAGCCCGAGGCTCACTGTCAACATGGAAAGCTAGAAGCTCAAGCTTCCCCAGCCTTCCAGTCCTGCATCCACTCCGCTCAACACAATGAATACTGTTTGGCATCCCTCCCCTGCCCTCTTCATAATGAAGTTAAAGGTGAGAACAGATGGTTCAAGAACACGGCCTGAGCCAGTTGCTGTCTAACAAACACCTCAAGTATTTTAATGCAAAAGCAATTTCATATTCATTAACAGCTTTAAGTCTGGAGGTAGAGAAACCGCCATAGAGACGACAGCCTGGTAGACAGTACCTGACAGGCAATGGGCTCGCTGACAGGCGTGCCAGGCACACTCATGTCGCTCCAGCGCTATAACCACACTGGACCCCAGCACTGTGTCCAGGTGGCACTGGCATCTGCTGTGCAAGCTTCAAAGCCCCCAACAGGGATCTGTCCTGCTCAAAATCGCTATGACCTCGCTCACACAGGGCACGCCCCACTACTACCTTAAACCAGGAGTGCAAACTTGTCTTTTCAGGCAAGAGGAATCACATCTAAACCCTGGCGTGGCAAGTGTGGCAGAGCTAGCACTGTCCTGGGCACCATCAGCGCCCAGCCCTAGAGCACGCTACACCAGATGTGCTTCTTTCTGCTGACTCCACGCCTGTACATTGTAAACACAAGGTAAGTGTTAGCTGATGAAAACGACTAGGTCAAATACCTAGATGCACTTAACTACTGCATCTAGTCTGCACTTTGTTTTACTTTGGCACAGTTTCTTCAGCTTTCTGACAAACACAGCATTCTGTAACGTGAAACAAAACAAAACAAAAGAGCGGATTAAGAAACGATGAAGTTAGAAGTTTTGGAGATGTGACTCAGAGACTGGGCAAATGCAAGGGCCTGGACTCTTATTCAGTCCCACCATGCAAAAGAAAAAGAGAGTGAGGAACTGAATTAAGTGCCACTGCTTATGGCCATCCTGGGCAGGAGCAAGGCACACTCTCAAGCCTCTATGAGGGCCACTTGAATAATCCTCAGTAGTTATGCTGGCTTTTGTGTCAAGAGCTCTACCTCAATTCACTAATTTAACCCCTTTACAGAAATGAACTTGCTCAAAATGATGGAGATCCACCTGCCTCTGCCTCCACAGTACCGGGATTAAAGGCGTGTGCGGATCACCACAGCAGCCTATGGTCGATCACTTGATAAGGAGAGTCTTAGTGTCAGGTAGTGCCTTGTTATGTACCCCTGGCTCTCTGAGCAGCACTGCTTCTCGCCCCCCTTTTAGCAACAGTCCTCCCTGGTAAAACCCTCATCTCCTCCACCACAATTCAATTCAGTGATAACTCAAAGCACAAACTGAAAAGCTATAGAGGTTAAATATGTATTCTGGTTTTTGGATGCCACACTTCATCCAAAAAAGATGAAAGGACTGAAGAAATGCTTCCTATTTTTAATAGCCAATTTGTTATACTCAACCATGCTGGCCTGGTCACAACGGTCCTGTGCAAACCCACACCCGGAACCCACAGCAAATATTGGCTACTGTAGGAACAAGGGGCCAAAGTCTCACCTTCCCTTTCAGTGTCTGCAAAGCATCCAAATAAGCAGCCAGCATGGGCAGACTCAGGGTCTCCACAAGGGTGGTATGGAGCCACTGGGTCAGCTTGGTGTCCCAGCTTACACTTGCCAGAGCCTGTCGCACCCTCCTTGCACACTTGTCTACAGCGACACGACGAAGCACAGGCTCATTGCAAGCCTAAAGAATGTTCACGAAAAGAGGTTAGTGGGGGCGGGGTGTGTGACAACACAGGGCAGTCAATCAACGAGGCCTGCGCTCAGAGGTATCTGAGATCTTACCCCTTCGTTGGCCAGTCGGGCGAGCCGGTCAGACTGCAGGGCTTTGAGGATCTTGTTAAATAGCTTGCTCTGAGCCATTGTCCAGCCAGTCCTATAACAGAGACTCTGAGGAATTAGTGTGACCCTAAGGATGTTTCCCACGTACGTCCACCATATAAAGAGATGCCGTCACAGCTTGTCACCATTATGAAAGAGTCTAGTCACTGAGCAAAGGCATGAAATTTTGGTCCCAATTCTGCCAGCGAATCACCTCACAAGTCAGGACCACTCACAGAGTCTTTCAGTGTTTGAAAAGCTAATTATTGATCTGGTGGCTATTAGTAACCAAAGACATGGCACCAGTGCACAATCATGTTTCAATCTATTACTTATTTTCCAGACAGGGTCTCATGCTAAACTGAACTCAAAGTCCAAACTCCTGCCTCAGCCTCCAGAGCGCAGGGACTACAACATATGCCACAATGCTTGGTTCAACAACTATCTTAATGGACTAGAAGCAGGAGAGTAAGGCGGGAGCTCTACGTAAACCAGTTTGAAAAGCAAAACTGTAAAAGAACTATTACCACAATTCTCCAATGCTTCAAAATTGTACCCAATACTAATGTTTTTCCTTTACTCATGGATTTTACATTTTTTCTGTCACACAATTAGAGAAATGTTAACACTAATCTAGTATATGACAAAGACATAAATATCTACCTTCCTTACTGACAGTTTTTTTGTGTCCTTCTAAACCCAGCTTTGAACTCTGCAATTACAAGTCTATCCTATTATTCTTTGTGTTTGTTTTTTGTTTTTCAAGTCAGGGTTTTTCTGTGTAGCTTTGACTGTCCTGAAATTCACTCTGTTCACTAGGCTGGCCCCAAACTCAGAGAGATTAAAGGCGTGTGCCACCACTGCCCTGCAAAATCTATTGTTCTTAGCCCTAGCCTTGATTCCAAACATAGTGGTGCTGAGCTTACTAACATCAGTCGTCACCTCACCCCCAGCACTCTTAATAATTCTGGTATCCCAACTGTGACTAGTAAGTAATCTTAAAGGGAGGAGGAAAAAGGCAAGAGAAGATATTTAAACTTTCTTTAGTCTCTCTGCCATTAACAAATTCCCAATAAGCTGAACAAGGTGGCTCACGCCTTTAATTCCAGCACTAGCGGGGCAGAGGCAGGCAGATCACTGTGAGTTCAAGGCCAGCCTGGTCTACAGAGTGAGCTCCAGGACAGCCAGGGCTACAAACAAAGAAACAAACAAACACAATAAAACAAAAAGCGTCCCTACAAGCTGGTGCCGGTGAGGAGGCTTCATGGGTAATGTGACTACCATGCAAATATGAGGACACGAATGTTTATCCCCTAACACCATGTAAAAGCTGAGCATGGTGACTGTGTCTGTGCTGGCTTCAGGGATGAGAAGGGGCAGAAGGAGCCTAGGGGCTCGCTAGCCAGCCACTCTAACCAATCAGCAAACTCTAGGTTCCGTGAGAGATTCCAGATCAAAAAAAAAAAAAAGGTAGAAACTAGAGGAAGATACCAGACATAAATCTCTGGCTCCATTTGTAAAAACATATGATCAACATATTCAAATATATGTACACATACAGGCAACACACACAGACACACCAAATAAAATGGGAAAAAAAAGTTCCAGTTCTTGCAATGAGTTACATGGATCCCAATACCTTCCCAATCTCATCATCCAATGATTGCCACTCAGCTTAGTTCAGCTGCTCCTGTGCCCCTGACCAATAATGCCCATTCCCTACCCCATGTGTATCAAGTATAGTCCTGTATCTGAACCCTGTTCATTCGCTCCTGAATTCAGTGACGCCCTCTTCCCCCTGCTTCAGGCCACTGTTAAATATCACCTTGACCCCTTTCATCCTACCCTGGGATTCTCTAGCTCCACTTTCCAACTCCATCATTGCCTCACATTCTAGCCACTTTGTGTTTGGTTCTCTCTGTTAGAATGCAAAAGCCAAGTTTTTATCGCCATGTTTTAATGCTATATCCCCAGTACAGACCACGAGTGCCTGGCACTCTGGGAAGTTAGAACACTTTCTGAATAGACAAACTGCACACACTGCATTCTAAGTGCTCTGAACAGCTAGGTTCATCCTGTCATTGTCTCCCCCACCCCCCACAGCCTACCAAACATATGGCTACTAAGCAAGAGGAAGAACACAGCAAGAAGACTTAGAGCCAACACTCAACCAGGCTCTTCAGTACTCTAAGGTGGTCATTCTACAGGGAAGCTACCTGAAATGACATCAATAGTTTCCATTTCTTACTTCATAGCAGATTAGTACCTTTTCCATCACACCTAATCTTAGTCACCTCATTTCTACAGGACGTGGGTCTACAAATACTCGTATTTGTAGAGAATATATAGATGAAGGACAAATTACCTTTCACTCTGTTCAACTATTTGGTATATAAGAGTAAGCAAATATTTACTAAAAACTCCTTTTCTCTCTGTAAAATAAAATACCCACCTACCACACAACTTACATGGTTCAAGAGAAGCCTAACCAAGAGCCAGACTTTATTCCAACTTTAATAAAGAGCTAGCTAGCTAACGTACCTTGAGTCTTCTGATCTAAAAAAAGACAAGAACTAAAGTGATCTTTAAGTTACTTAAAATTCAGGCTAACTATGATGAACAATAATGATAACAACATAGGTTTAGAGATAGGAACAAGTAACCCCTCTTCAGAAACACCATCGATTCCCACCTTAGTAATATAGATCGAATCCAGCCAAGTACTCTACTGCTAAATTATATATCCCTAGCCCTGGCTTTTTTGAGACAGAATCTTATTCCTCAAACAGCTCCAGTCGACCTTGTACTCGCTATGTAATCAACCCTGACCTCAAACTCATGATCTGCCTGCTTCAGGCTCCTGCATGCTTGGATTACAGGAATGCAGCATCACACGGGCTAGTCTTGCCTTCTATCTATCTGCAAAGCTTTCCTTGCTACAATGTAAATCCCTTCTGGGTTCCCAAAGCTCTTGTAATACTTGGAAGATAACTAGAAGCAGTCTTAGGTTTCTAGATTGTGCCTTTTCCTTTTCTTTCCCCCTAGTTCTCTTGGCACAACTCCTGCTACTTCATCAGAATCATGTCTATTTTTATTGTGGTTTGTTACTTAGAGACACTTGATTTTGGAGATGGGGACTGAAAACCTTAACTCCATTTGGAATAAAGACTCGTTGGGACTAATGTTCCTAGCCTATTAGTTTATATTTCCCTTTTCCCTCACATTATTGAAACACACAGCATATTTACCCCAGTAGCATCTCACTATGTACAGTGATTCTCAGGTGGTCTTCAAGCTTGCATGTGCAGACATGGGAGAAAACACAACGTCCACACAGTGAAGAAAACACTTTCTGAAGACATATATTTTCATTTAATGCACTTTCAGGCATTGGTTGAATTCTACCCTGTTATTTAGACTACTTGTGTGTGTGTGTGTGTGTTGCATACATGTGGTGTGCTTTCCATGAGTGTACATGGGGAAGCCAGAGGTTGAATTTAGGTGTCCTCTTCTATCTTTCTCCATATTATGTTTGAAACAGGGTCTTTCACTGACCCTGGTACTCAATGATTGGCTGAATGTCTGGTCAATGAGTTCCAAGGGTCCCCATCTCCTTCTCCAACACTTGTGTCACAAATGTGTATCACCATGCCAGTATTCATAAGATAGGTGCTGAGGATCCAAACTCAGGCCCTGGTGCCTACACAGCAAACATTTTATCCACTAAGCCATCTCCTCGGCCCTTCATTACTCATTTTTTTTTTTTAACTCTATTTTCATTATGAAATCCAAAATGATATGGGAAAGAAATATGATCTAAACAAAACAGAAAAGTTAGAATCTATTTAGAAATGACTACCATGTAACACATGAAATTAAATTTGAAAGCCACAACATTGAGTGTCTAAAATCTCAGAAAATAAAATTATGATTGTTGCTACACGTAAAACAAAGAACTGAAACATGTTCTATGGATTCTATCAGCTTCGTGGGAGGCGAAAAAAGTAAATGGGCAGGGGGAAAAAAAGATCTAACCCAAGATTAAGATAAAGAGCATGCTAAAGATATAATTAAGGAAAAATTCAAAAACAGGAGACCAAATTTTAAATACAAGCCTAAGCAGTCAGGGAGCTGACAGGACTGTGGTGAGTCAACTGAGTCGGCTGCCCCCTCCCTTTGGGCCTAAGTCTATTTAATTTTCAAGAATGCAAGAAATTCATTTTCTTTCTTTCATAGATGAGATCAGATAGTCTTCTGTTTTCCTTGGTCTAACCAACCTGAATGATAATGCGGACATCAGGCTCATCCTAGTTAAAGCAAGCAAAAACAGCATGATGGTCCTAGAAAATCTGATTCTTCTTTTCCTTTTTTTTTTTTTTTAAAAAGCAACAAGGTCCCATTATGTAACTCTTGATAGTCTCAAATTTGGATCCTCCTATCTGTTTCTAAAAAGGCTGGGATTATAGACATATGCCACAAAGCCAGGCAAACGCAGACTTTTCAAAGGTATTATTAATTTCCTGATTCTGTTCCAGGGGAGACTGATTCAAGGCAAAAATGTCTAAAGGACTTGGAGGACAGAAAAGGGCACTGAATCCCCTGAAAACAGAGTTAGGATGGTTTGTAAGCCACCATATGAGCGCTGGAAACACAACTCTGGCCTTCTCTAAGAACAGCAAATGCTCTCAACCGCTGAGCCATGTCTCCAGTGGCCCAGTACTAGATTAAAAAACAAAACAAAACTGTTAGAAATCTTAAAACTCTCCTGAGCAAATACATCTAATGCAACTTTCCATCTGATGAACAGGTATGGGGTGGGGGTGGGGGACCTGGTCCAGCATCTTCAGGACTATATTACTTTGCCACCAAACAGAATTTCCAATAATTCTCCAAGTTATAAGATTGTGACACACAGACACAAAAACATGACCCAGATCCAGCCAGCAAACTCCTTGGATAGGAAACTAGATTGTAAACATATGAGGGATTACAGACCATATGGTCCTTGACACAACTATATAACTCTTGTTTTAGTGCAAAGGCAGCCATGGACAATATCAAATGAATGGGCATAGCTATATTTCAATAATCATTCATTGTAGACACTGAAATTAAAATTTGTGTCAATGAAATATCTTTCTCCAACCCTGAAAAACATAAAAACTACTCTTAAGGCACACAAAAGCAAACAATGGACCAAATTTGGCATATGGGTCAGTTTGACAACCCCTGCCTGATCTAGACAATTAAATCAAGCAGAGATCGAGACCATTTCATAAAATATCAGCTAACATCATAGAAAACTAGGATTAGGTGGTGGTAGCAGATTTTGTTTCCTATGCACAAAATAATCTGTGCAAAGTTTCTACTGAATAATTAAGAATCAGAGAAAAGAGCCCTAACAAACAAGGGAAGCTTCTGACTGCAAATACAAGTCAATCAGTAGTGTCTCTGAAGATAAAAATCAAGATTCTAGAGCTGTCCATGGAGTTCTCAGTGTGGGAAACTGTAATTTTACACGACTTATACAGGAAGAAAGGAAGCAGCAATTTAACAATCAAGGGCTAGAAGGCAATAAGATGACTATAATCACAGCAAAGGCTACTGCAAACTTCCAAACAAGCTACAGAAAATGATGACCTTTGAGTTAAGTTAGTAAGTGCTAACAAATAATGAAATCAGCTACCTGCAAAAGTGACCTAACCAAAGATCGCTTAAAGTCTGTTGCTAATAGATCATCTCCCAAATCTTACCAGACACCAAACACAGTAACAGTTTATTTCAGAGTGTGCAGCAGGGTCCTAATAGAGGAAGTTCCCTCTGAGACTAGAGAAAGACAAGGCAAACACAGCACCCAGCAGGAGAAGGGGCACCCTCATTACTTGGTGTGCCCATCTTTCTCCTGTAAAGATTCTCATGCATCTACCCCTAGAGAATACAGTGTCTTCTCAGACTTTTCAGGCTGACCTTGAACTCACTGAGATCACCTGCCTCTGCCTCACAAGTACTGGGATGAAAGGTGAGCTCATACATGTGCATGCAGGTGTTCAAGCAGGCCAGAGGCATCCCCTTGCAGCTGGGATTACAGGCAGTTGTGAGAGGCCCAACATATGGTCCTCTGGAGAGAGAGAATCATCTCTCTAGCCCCTCTCACCATTTTTTAAATTAAATTGTCATGGAATTATATCCCCAACCTCAAAAAAACTGTATTTTAAAGCAATTCAAGCATATTAGCTTTATACATGACTCTAAAACATTAGTCTACTGTAGATCATATAAATGCAAACCTTACAAACATAAATTTAGTTTTTAGGTAGTTTGGGTGGCTCTTACATTGCATAATCTACAGAGTTAGTCACCCTTATATCCAACAAATTGTATGATTTTGTGGTGCTGGGGCCTCATACGTGCCAGGAAAATAAATTTATTTAAATTAGAAAAATCTTATTTTATGTTATCAATCCCAGCTCCCTCTCCCTTCCATTCTCCCATGCCCCCCCCCACAGACCCCCATCCTACCAGGAAAACGTTTTACCACTCTGTTACATCTGCAACCCCTACTTATACTTAAGGCTTCACTACGCTGTCCAGACATGTCTTAAATTCTTAAGTGCAAGTCCTCCTCCTGTCTAATCCTTTTCAAGATGGTGCAACTATAGATATCTATCACTAAGCATGCCAGTCAATGTGCTGTGCTAGAGTAGGGTCAGTGAGTAAGGCAGCTGAGATGCAATGCAGAATGAGGAGAATATCCCCATTTACACAGCTACAGATGAAACAAACTCTAGTAAACGTTTCAAGGAAACCGATATCAAAGAATGACAAGGCACTAACTATCAAGGGACAGCCTACCTGTTGACATGCTCTTCCCAGTCTTCCGGGGGAGGAGGAGCATCTGCATCTGTCCTGGCGAAGATAACGTGCCGTTCACACTCATTCATCACACTCCGTGCCTTCTGGTTGTCATAGAGTGGTACAGGAATTGCCGTGACCGTCTCCACATCTATTGGAACGTCTGATTCGCTGTAAATAGTTGAGGAAATAGCCATACACACTTCACACAGCACAAGTGCTTAACCACCGTCTGGTTACCAAATTATATATGTGTATGTGTGTGTGTATATGTGTATATATATATATATATATATATATTTATCTGTCTATTGAACACAATTAGCTTTAAATGATTAATAAACTCATCACATCCACAAGAAAATTTTTATCTACAGTCATCTTCCCCACACTCATCTAGCTCTCCTCTCTCCTGGTATGTGCCTGGGAAATGCAAGGTCATTACACCTTTAGTGACTTTGGTTTTTCTTTGAAAGCAGTGGGAATTGACTATGTTGCCCAGGCTAGCCTTGAACTTGGTTGTTGTTTTACTTAAGATTTTTTAAACCAGGTTTAGTGTAGGCATCTATGTGGGTATGTGCATGTGAGCTCATGTCCACAGGCCAGAGACATCTGACATAGGTCCTCTGCAAGAACAGTATGTGACCTTACCTGCTGACCCATGTCTCTCCAGCTTCTGCCTAGCCTCAATCTCTTAACCCTCCTCTCACCTTGGCCTCACCAAGTGCTGGGGTTATGGGCATGCGTCACCACACCTGGCTCCAAAACCTTTCAAAACGCAGCTATACAAAAACTAACAAACAGATGTATGTGTGTATAGAGAGAGAGACAGACAGACAATATATCCACAAGCAAATAGCTGGCTGCCTAGGCATGTTGTCCAAATGCAGAAGCTATAAGCCATATGTGGCTACCTAAACTTACTAAAATGAAATAGGATTAAAAATTCAGTCCTTGCCCAGCATAGTGGTGCACACCTTTATTCCCAGAACTCAGGGAGCAGAAACAGGTTGATTTCTAAGTTTGAGGTCAGCCTGGTCTACAGAGCAAGTGCCAGGACAGTCCAGGCTACACAGAGAAACCTTGACTTGAGAAGGAAAAAAAAAGTCCATTCCTCAGAGCTGGTGGAGAGATGGGTCAGCAATTAAGTGCTTGATACTCTTGCAGAGGGTCCAGACTTAATTCTCAGCACCCACGTGGGATGACTCACAACTGCCTGCAACTCCAGCTCCAAGGGGATCTGATACCTGTGAGGACACTGGCACTCAATGCACATGCCCATTCATAAACACAATCAAAAACAAAATAAATCGTCCAATAAAGTAATTCAGTTCCCATTCACTGACCTTCTTTTTAAGAAAATGCCATGAGAGCCGGGCGTTGGTGGCACACGCCTTCAGTCCCAGCACTTGGGAGGCAGAGGCAGGCTGATATCTGTGAGTTTGAGGTCAGCCTGATCTACACAGTGAGTGCCAGGACAGGCTCGAAAACAATACAGAGAAACCCTGTCTCGAAAAAAAAAAAGAAAAAAGAAAAACAAAACAAAAATACTATGAGATACAAATACATGAGTTTTAATGTAAGAAAGAAGTTTGATTCAGTTTTTTAAAAAAAATTTCAAATTCTATGTAAAGGAGACTTTTAGTTATGCCCCAGGCCAGAGGCATCAGGATTATATTAGAATGTTCCCTGCCCAAAATGAAAGTCAACAAAAATGTTACTATCATTAGGAAATCAAAACAAAACAAAAACAGTCTTCTGAGCTGGGTAGTGGTGTAGCAGTACAGGTCTTTAAGGCTAGTAATTGAGAAGCAGAGGCAGGTGGATCTCTGTGAATCAGCCTATCTACACAGAGTTCTAGGATTTCAAACAAACCACTCTTCTAAGCCATACCTATGGCTGCAATCTTAAAGCCTGGGAGGCAGAAACAGGAAAAAGAATTTGCTGCCACACAGCCAGTCCCAGGCTAACCAGGGGTAGAGTAATACTCTGTCCCAAAAGAAAACAAACTAATCAAGGTGGCATGTACCTATTATCCTAGCACCTAAGAGGGTTAGAGTTCAAAATCAATTTCAGCTGTACTACTGTCTGGGGAGGGGAAGGGGCTGCGGTGTGTGTGCACAAACAGACTTCAAAACTCTAACAAAGCAACAAAAACATCCAACATTCCACACTTGCTTAAAAACACACAACGGTCCCTCTAACTCATTAATACTTAAAGGGTGTGTGTGCATGTAAAGAACCCACTACCCCACCAAAAAAACTAAACAAAACACACACACACACACACAACCACCCTGTGCTTGAGGAAAGATTAAACAGAAAGACAAAATAAAAAACAAACACAGAAATCTCTTATCCAAAAATCTGTACTGATCAGACCAGAGCATTTCAATAAATCCTGATATGGGTGAAATCACAAAGTTCAAAATAATTAATTAGTTAGGTCAAACAAATGTAACCAAATCACTTAACATATAGTAAATTTTTGAAATGTTCTTACCCTCTAAGGTAGGGTGGCTGGGAATATAATGAGACTTAGGAAGGTTTAGATTAACCCACAGGTGGCTTTCTGTAAGGAGGTAAGACTGAACTCAATGTTTTGGGAACTCCCTCCGAATCTGATTTGTGCACTGAAGCCTGGGGAAGGGAATGATCGATTGTAGCCACTGTAAGCAAATCAGATGCTCCAGTAAAGTGACAAAGACATTCCTGCTTTCTCTTTCCACACAAGCTCCATGACACTTAACTAAGTGGACTAGGCTGTGTTTTCATGTGCATATCTTCCTTTTCTAATGCACATTTGGAGATGTCTGTGAAGATGTCCGCACTTGCTGCCTGATATGCTTACGCTGCTCACCCAAGATCTCCAGTCAAGCACCTCCCCATCCGTCCGTCCGTCCAATCACTCCCAAGAACACCTCTCTGAACCCCACCACACGATCACTGCCAGCGTTAGGCAGAAGTAGCCCTTAAGAAGGAAACCCAAACTCACATGGTATTCTCAAACTCACATAGTATTCTCCTGCTGCCGACGGGGAGTTACAAAGAGCAAGCGGGTGGGGCGGGCACTACTGGCATCTGGGTGGGCACTCCATGGTTTAGCATAGCTATGATCCAAAAAGACGAGGTCCAGCTCCCGCTCGTGCACTGAGAGCTGGAAGAGCAGGGAGGTACCCATCCGCCGAGCTGAAGTCTGGAAGTCCCTCTCCCCACCCCGGTGGGCCATGTCAGTAGTCTGGCTGTCAGGTCAGGGTGTGAGTATCTGCATACTAGTCACCTGCAGTGAAACGTGGTTTGTCAGTTCAATACTTTCAATCTCTCCCAATTCACACTATCAAAATACACTTTCATGCCTATCATTCTTAGCATCGACTGTGCACTTTGCTCACCGAGGTGAGTTCCCACTCCACCGCCAAAAAGGTACCGGTGCTATACAAAATCCACAATTACGCAAGTATAAACCGACTCCACGGTTACAAAGACCTTTAGTCTCATAACTGGGAAGGCACAGGCACACGGGTCTCCATGAATTCGAGGACAGCCTGGTCTATACTGTTCCTGTCTCAAATTAGAGAGAGACAGAGAGAGGGCGCAAAATAAAAAGACTTAAATCTGCTATGCAATTTCCTTCCTGGGTGGCAAAGGCCTTTTTTTTTTTTTTTTGCAAACAAGAGCAATCATAAGCACGAATTCTTTCAAAAGCCAGGCGGTCCCTACTTCCCAAGCCCTAAAGAGGACTTGGTCAGGGCCCGTGGGGCTCGGGCATCCTTGGAACAACCGCGGGGCACCGCGGGCGTCCAGGAAGCTGACTGCTGCCCGGGGCTCTAGGCGCCAGCGCTTTGGGCTGAGGTCGGGGTGGGGGTGGTGTCTCCTGGGGTCACGTTCCAAAGTTTTGCACCGACCTCACGTTACCGCGGAGTTCACAAAAGATAAAGAGCGGGGGCCGGGCCTCTGCCCGAGCCGGGACGGGGCCCGGGAGGCCATCCTTCCTCCGCCCTCGCACAGCGAGGCGCCCGGCAAACCGCCCGCTCCTCCGGGAGGTTCCCGCCTCGGAGCCGCAAAACCTCAGAGCGGCCCGCCCGGGCGGCTCGGGGACCCGGCCACCGGGCCAAGGTCATCCCGAGTTCGTGACGAGGAGGAGCCGCCGGCCCCGCCTCCCGGGCCCTTCCCGGCCCCGCGCCCCGGCCGCCCCAGCGCCGCTCGGCCTCCCGCGCCCGGCCCGGCCCGGCTCGGCCCGGGCCCGCGGCTCTAATCGCGGCCCCCCGCATGCCCGCGGAGCCCCGAGGGCCTCGCAGAACCGCCGCCCGCCGCCTCGAACCCCACGGGCCGCCACCCGCGCCGGGCCAGGCCCGCGTCTCACCAGCAGTCGTCGGCCGCGCGCTCGCCCGAGCCGGATCCCAGCGCGCGTGCGCCCTACCGCCTCCGCGCTGGGCTCGGGCGAAAGCGCGGAAGTGGATCGATCGGATCGCCGCCCGGGGGAACGGCGCGGCGGTGAGCGGCAAAGCCCGGGGCGGATCCGCTCCCGCGACTCGGCTGGCCCCGTGGGTAGCGCCGCACAGGCGGGGGCGCACAACTCGGAGGCACAGACGTCCTGTCCTCCGTCTGTGTTTTCTGTACCAGGAAGCGAGGGCGAAGGGCCAGACAGTCGCCGGGCGGGGGGTGGCGCACGCCTGCAATCACAGCACTTGGGAGGCAGAGGCAGGCTGATCTCAGCGAGTTCGAGGCCAGAGAGTACCAGGACAGCCAGGACTGTTACAGAGACAAACTATGTCTCGAAGGAGATAGATAAATAAATAGTAAGTAAGTAAATAAATAAATAAAGTTGAGACAATCAAGTGCTCACTGTCCCCACCTTTGTTCCTTTGCCTACAGAGCTCGGTTTTCCGTAGGAGGATGGGGGTTACCTTCAGTCAAGCGCGGTGATGGTGCATCCTTATAATTCTAGGATGCAGGAGAGGCTGAGAGCAGAGGATCAATGGTGAATTCCAGGACAATCTGAGCTGCACTTCAAAACAAACCCGAGAGGGGGAGAGGAAAAGCTTGGCAGAGTTTTGGAATCAACTCTAGAGCTCTGCGGAGTTTAAGGAATACAGGGAAGTTGCAGAGTTCAGACTGGAATGAGGGAGAGGTGGAATGTTAGGTTCAACATCTAACGGCCTGGCCCACATGCTGGAGCAGCAGGCAAGGCTTCATAGCCTTGCCCCATCTCTAAAGGCACAAACACCTACCCCTGGGAACGCAGTGGGTTATTTCAGCCACCTGCCAAGACCCCGAATTGATTTCTTGATGGCATTTACCATGATCTACCCCACCCACCCCCATGCTTTGGAACTCAGCGTCTTTGGCTGTTCACTTATTTATTTCTTAATGGAGGGAGTGGTTAGGCAGGGTCCCATGTATCTCAGGCTCCGCTCAAACTAGCTACACAAGTCAGGGATGACCTTGAATGTTTGATCCTTCTGCTTCTCTACCTTTCAAGTGCTGGTATTTCTCTCTGTGTAGCCCTGGAACTAGTTCTGTAGACCAGGCTGGCCTCGAACTCACAGAGACCTGCCTGCCTCTGACTCCCCAGCACTAGAATTAACAGCATGAGCCACCACACATGAGCCACCACATCCCGGTTTAGAACAGGGTGTCCGTTTTGGGTTTGAAGAACTGAAGGGCAGAGGGCCAGGAAAATTAGGCAATCGCAAGAGGCTTCTAAATTTCTAAATGAGCAATGACCTAAAGTTAATTCAAGCAGCATATCTGGCAGCTTGTGATGTGTTACATCCTCAGTATCACTGCGGCCTTGGTCCTGAGCACACGACACGCATACTTTAGCGCAGCTCATGCCATCTAGCTGCAACACCAACAAACTCTACCTAAAACCCCTCGGCTCAGACTTTAGACTATTATTGTATGTTATGAATGGCAATGTGTTTGTTTTTTCCTGTAGACATAAAGTTTTTTTTGTTCTTACTGCAACCCGATAGTTTCATTATGAAAAAACAAAGGCTCTCAGTATTTTCCTATCTTTCTTCAGCGTGTATCAAAGTACTGTTATCTTTGGATTGTGGTAGAATGCTTGGTTTTTAGAAATTGCTGTTTGAATGGCTGACTTAAGCTTCATAAAACAATCATCAAATGAATTTTAGCTTGGGGTTAAGACAGAATGTCCAATCATTGCTGAAAACACTTCTGCCATTTTATAGTATGTCTTTATACGAAGTAGCTTTCTTAGCATTAATTATTATTATTAGCAAAAATATCCATCACCTCAGAAGCTAGAGGATCAGAGGTTCAAGAATAGCTTCAGCTACACAGTAAGTTCAGGGTCAGCCTTGGCTACATGAGACCCTGTTCCCCCCCCAAAAAAAAAATCAAAGACAAAAGAGGCCAAATTTTTTACTTCCCCTGAAGCCCCATTGGTTTTCCTGTATATATATATATATATATATATATATATATATATCACTTCTTTTCTCATCTACATTGCATGCCTTTGCCAATAATTCATTCCAGACAAAAGAGAATTCTGTGCCTGATGTTGAACACAAAAAAGACAGCAATAGAGGAAAAGAATCTCCCAAGCAGCTGGGTCCTCTTGTTTGCACAGGCCTAGTCATCTCCAGCCACTTGTTTTATCCATACTCTGTCACATGCCAGTCACCTCTTCTGGAGAATCTCTCCGGAACCAAGAACCACTTACCTCTGTGATGCACCTCTGTTGCTAAGCTCCACTCCCCCAGTGAACCTGGGACCGAGGAGCTCTAGGGAGGAAGCCGAGTCACAGTGGAGAGAAGGAGGGGGAGAAAGCAGTTGTTCAAGATGCTAAGGCTTGTCGTGGAGTCGGCTAAGATTAGCCCACCTCTCAGTCCCCCACCCAAACCCTGTGTAACTGTCTACTTCAGAGGTGAGAACTGGTCCCAAAAGGCTACCAGGAGCCCTGCTAGGCATCACACACTCAGGGAAGACTCACTCACATCCTACTACATGAAAGATGTCCCCTGTGACACACAAGAAGGTAGACTGATTACTTCACAAACTTCTGTCAAGCCCCTAGCATATCAGGTCCTGGGTTTGATCCCCCAACACAGTTAAAAACCCAGCCAGGTTTTTGTTGTTATTGTTGTTGTTGTTTGTTTGTTTGTTTTTAATGGATACAACTATTGGTGTGTTTGTTAAGTCTCACTGTATAGCCCTGGCTGGCTTGAGTTACAACTTGTTTTATAGCCAGGTGGTGGCGCACAAATCCCAGCACTCTGGAGACAGAGGCAGGAGGATCTCTGTGAGTTCAAAGCTAGCCTGATCTACAAAGTAAGTTCCAGGACAGCCAGGGATACATAGAGAAGTCCTGCCTTGTAAAACAAAACAAAATTTAAAAAATAAATAACCTGTTTTATAGCCCAGGCTAGCCACAATCTAAATCCTGAGGTTATAGGTATGCACCAGCTGTGCGTGACTATTTAGTCTGCATGCAAGCATGTTTACCTTATGTGTACCGGGTGCCTATGGGAGTCAAAAGAGGTTGCTAGAGCCCTTGGCACTAGAATTATAAATGGTTGTGAGCCACCATGTGGGTGCTGGGAACTGAACCCAGGTCCTCTGTGAAGGGGCCTTGGAATCAGCAATGAACACACCCAGACACCACATTCTCACTCAAAGGAAATATATTACCCCAGAGGGGCAAGGGAGGGGGAGGAGGATCCCTCTGTATTGGACAGAGACAACAGGTGTGGTTTTTAGGCGAAAAAGGGAAGTCTGTGCTAGGGTGAGTTGGTAAGTTCTGATTGGACAGGTTAGCCACTGTAGCCAAATAAAGAAATTTGATTGCTGGACCTTGGAGTTTTAGTCAAACATAAGGAAGGAATGTAATCTGATGTTTTAACGTGGGAGAGGGGAAGGAGGAGGGCAAGACCTGCCAGACTCCTGTTTGCAATGCCCTTAAAGAGCCCTCCACCCTGCAGGAGCAACGGGTGTTCTTAAACAGGGAGCGGTCCCTCGTCTCAAAACCTATCGTCTCCATTGTTGCTATTTCTTTTCCTTTTCCTTTCTATTTGTTTTGTTTTTTGTTTTGTGAGACAGTGTTTCTCTGTGTAGCTTTGGAGCCTGTCCTGGAACTCTGTAGACCAGGCTGGCCTCACACTCACAGAGCTCCGCCTGCCTCTGGCTTCTGAGCGCTGGGATTAAAGGTGTGTGCCACCAATGCCTGGCTTTGTTATTATTTCTTTTATTTTGATTATATGCCTCATCCCTTCCAGATAAGTATTGGTGTGTGGGGGGGGACAGCAAAGCAAATGCTTCCTCACCTTCTTCCATGAACTAGGGCTGGGCTATAAAGTAAAGGGAAAAGAAAAATATCCAGTGTGGTTTCACGTACCTATAGTCCCAGTACTTGGAAGGCTGTGGCAGGAGAATTTCGAGCTTTAGGCTAGCCTAGTCTGCACATTGAGATCCTATCTCAAAAAGAAAAAAGAGTCAGTGAGAAAGAGAGACAGAGAAAGAGAATGTGAGAAAGAGAGAATATGTGTGTGTGTGAGAGAGAGAGAGAGCGCGCTCTGCATCATAGAATTATGACAAGACGTTTAAAAGATAGCATATGGGCAACCTTTAGTATGACTTTTGCTAGTAGCTGCTCAATACTGTCATTTACACTTGAATGAGCCTTATAGCTGACAATGCCTTTTCACAAATATATGTGTTCCTCACAGCAGTTCCATGAGGCAACTGAGGCCAGATTTATTGCCTCCACTTCTTTTTAATAACGGAAGGGACATATATCTAAGAAGGGAGAGGAAGAGAAAGGGTAAAAGAATCTATGAGACAGATTAAGTATATTTAGGAATCACAGATCTGGGAGCCAAATGGAGGCGTGGCCTGGGCTTGGGCTCAGCAACACAGTTCTTGCTTAGCGTGTGGGAGGCCCTGGGTTTTGATCCCACTGCTACAAAAGAGGGGAATAAATAAAAGAAAATGTGATGGTAGTCTCCTGGTTGAATGTATGGAAGCTAGTACAGGCCAACAAGGTTTCAGAAACTTGTAGGGAATGAGAAAATCAGATCCAAAAGAAAAGAAGACACAGTGCTGTTGGCGTTCCATATCTGTGGGCCCTGTATCTGGGAATTTAACCAACCCGAGTCAAACATATTTAAGGGCAGGCAAGATGGCTCAGCAGGTAAAGGCAAATATCATTCCCATACTCCATTGGCCAGAATGAGTCACAGCCCCATGGGGCTCTGAGACTCTGGGTACCATGTACTGGGAAGAAAGTGAAATGAAAACAGGGTTATCCATCACACATGGTGATACGTTTGAAATACTTGAAAAAGAAACTACAGATGCTACATCACAGCTGCCAATGTAGATTTGATGGCTCTTGGTACCCTGCCTGCCTGTCTTGGTCCCACTCAAACTGAGACACCGAAATACT